TGATGCTGGAGACGTGTTACCGGCTGCACGGTGTGGATCACTGGCTCTCCAAGCAGGCCCAGAAGTTAGAGATGATGCTGGAGCAGAAGTTGGCACTGCTGTCCCGGTAGGTGTGGCAAGCACTGCAAGTGGCTCTGGCAAGTAGTTTGTGTGTATCAGAAAGAAGGATGCATTTCTTTGTGCACCCGTTGAGGGTTCTGGAGCTTGTTTCTTCTGAGAATCATTCCAGTCTTATTTTTAATTTGAATTCCTTTAGAGGTGTCACACTGAAAACATCGAGGAGCAGAAGTTGGCACTGCTGTCCCGGTAGGTGTGGCAAGCACTGCAAGTGGCTCTGGCAAGTAGTTTGTGTGTATCAGAAAGAAGGATGCATTTCTTTGTGCACCCGTTGAGGGTTCTGGAGCTTGTTTCTTCTGAGAATCATTCCAGTCTTATTTTTAATTTGAATTCCTTTAGAGGTGTCACACTGAAAACATCGAAGTGCAAAGCACTGCATTCTGCTTGCTTGCTAAGGATTTTGTTTCTGGTGGAAGCACAGACTTTTGAAGGTTGGCAGTTAATCTGCTCGAACACCGTTCCCCAGGCAGGGTCAGCTACAGCAGGTTGTGCAGGACCATGCCCAGTGAGTTTTGGAGTAGGACGGTGGCTCCGCAGCCTCACTGGGAAGCCTGTACCAGGGTTCTGCCACTCTTGGTGAAGAAGTTGTGGGATGTTTTTTGTTTGTTTTATTTTTATTACCTTTTTAATGTTGAGACAGAGCTTCATATGTTTTTGGTTTGTGCTGACTGCCTTTAATCCCCTTTAATTAGGTACCAGTGAGAAGTCTAGCCTCCATCAGGTATTTATGCATGCTGATAAGATCACCCTTGAACTGTCTCTTCCCCAGATTTAGCAATCCCAGCTCTTTCAACTCTCTTCCTACGAGAGATGCTCCAATCCCTTAATTAAATTCATGGCCCTTTGTAGGTGTCACTACTGTAGATCCAACAAGTACCACCGAGTCCAGAATTGAACACAAAAATTTATTTATTAAAATGTGGCAGCACTTTTTTGGGTGAGATTAGAAAGAGAGCAAATTTAAAGCAGGTAAAACTGCATAACTTGTGTGGACTTTCTCTAAAGTTAGACTCCTCTGTTAGAAGTAGATAATACATTTGCATGTTTGCATGTCTGCAAAGTTTTCAGTGCTGGTAATGTAAGAATAAAATCTCCAGGCAAAATAATCTGTTTTGACACTGCTATTTAATGTTAGAATAGTTTATGGTAATGATAAAATGGAAGATAACCCCTGGCACTTGCTAGGTGGCAAAATGGAAACTGTGGTGTATATATAAGTGTATGTTCTTGTCAAGAAGTGCTTTTTCAGCCAAAGCAGCTGGAGCATGGAAAGCTCCCAGGTGTTACAGCAGGAGGTCTTGTTTAGGTCACAGCTGAAATACTGCTTTCTCCGGAGTTTGGCATGTGCTTGGTTTAGTTGTATTCACAACCCATGGAAGCTTTTTACAGTGAAAGGTCCACCAATATTTTTGACTTACTGTTGCATACAAATGTAAGGGTGTTTGGGGGGTTGCATGTGTCCATCTGAAGCTGTATGTGTCCATCAGTCTCAAACTTGGAAGTGACCCAAAGTGATATTTCAGGCTGGCAAGAAGAAACTTGCCTGTGTAGAGGGAGTGCTCAAGCAGAGAGTTGCAGAACCCGGCTGAATAGGCCACTGTGAGAGCGTTCTGTGTTAGTGTGTCAACAGTGTGCCTCTGAAATACCTTCCATGTAAAAATGCCTTTAGGTCAGGCTGGGAGTAAAGCGGTAGGAGCTGAATCCAAGGCAGGATGAATATTGCTAGCTTTCTTCAGTAAAATTTGATATTTTAAAAAAAAAAGAAAGAGAGGGAGAGAGAGAGAATTCCTGGCTTAAAAGAATGGTTGATGACAAATAAATAGCTTACCAAATGCATCTTGGAAGACTAATCCCAAATTCATTTCTCTATGTTGTCTACTGTCAACTAATTTTTCTCAGTCAGAAATATAACAGTTGAATGATTGTCTGTGCAAGGGTTGATTATGTTTCGAATTTGCATTCCTAAACTGCTTAAAAACTGTCTGTATAGAGACATTACATCAAAATGTTAGTTTGCTGTGACTGCAGCATCTCAGGATTGACCTGAAGGACATCCACCTCTTTGTTGTGGTGCTGCATCATTTTTCTTGTTAACTGTTGTTATCACCGTGTTTGGTATGCTTTGGAATAGCAGTCTGCTGTTTTGGACTACTAGTACACAGTGAAGTATTCTGCTTTGTTTTGCTTTGTTGCATTACTTTTTCTTCGCTCTACATTGAAATGTTTGTTAGAATTGGAAGGAAACACCACTTTCTCCAAGCTCCGGATTGATGTATTCCTACCAGAAGGAAGTCAAGCAAGGCGGGCAGGAGACCTGCGTGGATGGGCAGGGAGATGTTGGGTAAACTTAATGAGGAAAAAGAGCACATACATAATGCGAAAGAAGGGCCAGGCCACATGGGAAGAATATAGGAACATTGTCAGAGAATGCAGGGATGCAATGAGGAAGGCCAAGGCCCATCTGGAATTAGAGTTAGCGAGAGATGTCAAGGAGAGATGTCAACTACAGAGCCCGGAGACAAGAGAGAGAACGACTTTCCGCTGGTCCAGCAGGACTGGGTTAGGGATTATTTAGGCAAACTGGACACCCCTAAATCTGACGGGAGGCACCCAAGAGTGCTGAGGGAACTGGCAAGGGTTCTTGCTCAGCCGCTCTCCATCGTCTTCGAGAGGTCATGGAGAGCAGGGGAGGTGCCAGAGGGCTGGCACCAGAAACCAGCACCACTCCAGTCTGCAAAAAGGGCAGGAGGGAGGAGTCAGGAAACTACAGGCCCCGCTGCCTCACCTCCGTCCCTGGAGAGGTAATGGAGCAGCTCATTGCAGAGACCATCTCTAGGGATGTGAAGGAAAAGAAGGTGACCAGGAGTCAGCATGGATTCACCAAGCAGAAGTTGTGTTTGATGAACCTTGCTGCCGTCCAGAGGGACCTGGAGAGGATGGAGAGTTGGGCAGAGAGGAACCTCATGAGGTTCAACAAGGACAAGTGCAGGGTCCTTGGGGGTCCTTCCTGGGTGAACCTGGGGAGGAATAACTCCAGACACCAGTACAGATTAGGGGTTGACCTGCTGGAAAACAGCTCTGCAGAGAAGGGCCTGGGAGTCCTGGTTGACAAGTTGACCATGAGTTAGCAATGTGCCCTCGTGGCCAAGAATGCCGATGGCATCCTGGCCTGCATGAGGAGGAGCATTGCTAGCAGGTCGAGGACGGGGATTGTGCCCCTGTGTTCAGCTCTGGTGAGGCCACACCTGGAGCACTGGGTGCAGTTCTGGGCTCCCCAGTACAAGAGGAACGTGGAGCTTCTAGTCCAACGCAAAGCGACAACGATTAAGGGACTCGAGCATCTATCGTATGAGGAAAGACTAAGCCCCTGTTTAGCCTAGAGAAGCCTGAGAACAGATCTGATCAACATGTACAAATACCGGAGGGGACCATCTAAAGAGGATGGGGCTAAACTCTTCTTGGTGGTGGCCAGTGACAGGACAGGGCGTAGTGGGTACAAACCGAAACACAGACAGTTCCATCTCCATGTGAGGAAGAGCTTCTTTCCTGTGAGGGTGACCGAGCCCTGGCACAGGCTGCCCAGAGAGGCTGTGGAGTCTCCTTCTCTGGAGATCTTCCAAACCCGCCTGGATGCCACCCTGTGCCACGTGCTCTGGGTGTCCCTGCTGGAGCAGGGGGTTGGACTAGATGATCTCTAGAGGTCCCTTCCAACCTCAACCATTCTGTGATTTTGTGAAATAACAGTATAAAATAGCACTTTACTTTCTGACTGTCCCCTTCCCAACCTCCTGTGCACATCACAGATGCAAGTTGTACAATATTTTCTTCTTCCTGTTCTATATGACTGTTATTTTGCAAACTGCTGGATGCATTTGGTATTTATACTTTTCTACTATTTGCTACAGTGTCACACTTTATTGGCAAAATTTCTAAGACTTGAGGGAATATTATTATCCCAGTTTTCCAAATACAAAGCTGGAGCATGAAATGGAGGCCCAACTGTTTCCTTTTTGAATTTTTTGGGATGTAGTAACAGTCTGCCTCTTAAGAACTCTTCATGTTCCCTATTACTACTTACTTCATCTCCCCCTCCCTCTGCCACAGAAATGCAGTTTTTCCAAGTGCAGCGGTAGTCTTTTTAATTTCCTTCTTTAGAAAATAATAAATCTGCAATCAGATGTTAATGAAGAGTCTAAAATAAGTAACCTGACAAGAGGCATAGGGGACTAATGCAGTAATAGGAATAGATTGAAGATGTCAAAGTACGTCATTCATATTTCTTAACTGTGTCTGTTCTCTTCCTTCTGCTCTGTTGTCTACCATGGAGCTTTTGCAGAACATAAGGCAGAGGGTCAAAGACAAGTCTCATTCCTTACCCAGATCAAACTCATTCTGAGACCTGTATTCTGCATATTCCCATTTTACCTTCTGATGCCTGCCTTTTTACAGCTGATTTTTAAGGGGGTTTGAAACACTTTGGAATTCAGCCTCTAATGTTTTTGACAGCTAGATGAGGCACCTTTATTTTGTAAAAGCTTAAAAATGGACTTTTTATTGGATTTCAACAGGTGGCATGAAATCTGTAGAAAGAGAAAGAAGAGCAAAAGTTTATTCAGTCTTGAATATTAGTTTGAAATCATAGGAGCACTCCATTTTAATTTTACTGCCTTTTTACATAAATAGCATTGTCCCCAAAAACATGGCTAAAGCTTTCTCATGAAAAGGAGATGACTTTTCATCATGAAACAGAAACCAGGCATGAACAAATACAATATGAAAGGACAGTTTAAGAGTACTCTAGGATCCTGTTTCAAGTTGTTTACATTATAAAATTTTGAATAATGCTGTTCTCCATACAACTTACTGGGTTCAGTAGATAAACCTCGGAATCTTACTTTGGTAAACTATGTTGTCATAAAACAGGAAATATATTTCATATAGTAATCAACCTTTGTATTTGGTCTTAATTTTCCTACAGCAGTGGCTTGCACCAAGCTTTAAAATGTTTAGAAGTATACTTTTCATAGAATCATCGAATGCTTAAGGTTGGAAGGGACCTCTAGAGGTCATCTGGTCCAACCCCCCTGCGCACGCAGGGTCACCTAGAGCATGTGGCACAGGACTGAAACAGGTGATACTCATTTGTTTCACTGTCTCCTCTTCTTCTTTCTGCCCATCACTTAGGAGATATTGGAAGCATTTGTCGAGTAAACTGCAGGACTGGTTTCTGTAATATAGAGAAAGAGGTCTTTCTATCTAGATATTTTAAAGAAATCTAATGTAAAATCGTTAAAACTTTATGCGGCCACTGAAGAGAATAGTCTTGTTTTGCCACCAAGAAACATATATATTTTTTAGATGATATTATCTTATGCACTTTCTGATGACTTGTTTTTCTGTTGCCTTGGCTCATTAATCAAACCGGCCTTGCAACCAAGCTATCATGAGAGTTAGTGTAAGGTAAGAGGGGAGTGGGAAGAAGACAGTACTTCGGTTGCTCCAGTTACAATTTTTTTCTTTGTTTCTCTCTCTTTTTTTTTTTTTTTTTTTAAAACAATCATTAACCATAGGATACTTCTTTTGTTTTCCAGTATTTATTCTTTGTGAACTATATTTTTTGCTACTTAGAAACATACCATGAGTTCACATGGGAGACATCTGCTAATCTTTTGGCTCTTGAAACTGGAGCAGCAAGAACTTGTGATAGAGCCCTGGCTGGTAAAGTGACTGGTGCACTCCTTAATGTTTACGGTGTAACAAGTTGACCACATGTGCCCAGGCTACCAAAGTCGTCTTTTTTTTTTTTTTTTTTTTGGTTTTGTGAAAACATTTTGATTCCCTGATAAAATGCTCTGTATTTGCTGTTGTATCTTCAGTAGAAACAACAGAAGAGTGGAATGAGACCGATAGGGCCTTCAGGAACTAGGTACCTTAAATTTGTGCTCTTTTTTTGAAAATTAGCTAAACTGATATTGTTATTTTAATTGCTTTGAAAAGAAGGTAGTGAAGAATACTTTCAGGTTTATAGAAATTTTTCTATCTATGTTACATGGTAATGCTTGCGAAAGACTTCGAAATATAGAATCACAGTATTGTGAGAAGTTTAGTTCACCAGTAAAGATTGTTTTAGCAGTTCCAATCACTGGCTATTTATTCTTTCTGCCATACCATGTTTAGCTACTTTCTCAGTTGTGCCAAGGGAACTTCGTGTAATTGGGAGGGATTGATCTGGGTTTCACAGTAGAAGGTGTAACAGGGAGTGGTTATAGAAGTGGGCCAGGGATCATACATTAAGGTAGCCAACAAAAAGCTGTTAAGTAACTATACCAAGACATACTGACATGTTGCATGCCACTGCTGGAAGTTTTGAAGTCATGAGGGAATTCTCTTCTTGAGCTAGAGGACTTGCACCTGGTGAGACATCAGAAGAGAAACAGCTGTCCATGTATCCAGACTACCAACATGCTAATCTTATGTAAAAATAATGTCCCAACTGAACTACAGTGTGTGCTGAAGCAATTCTTCCCCTTCCAGCTATGCCAATTCTTGATGCTTCTAAGACAGATTAGCAACCAGATTTTTTTTTTTAAATAGGATGACTATTTGTAAGGTGGTGAAACATTGCAACTGCTGCCATGAGATATGTGTGGCTGCCTGTTTTCATTTTATCTTGTCTACACAAATTCAGTCTTTTTGTAATGTTCTTCCTTGTGATGTTTCAGTATATTCTAATTTTATAATTCTGCGGATTTTGTTCTGTAGTTCTTGAAACTGAGCAGAAGTCAGTTTTCCATCTTTGAGCTTAAACCTACATTTTTCGTCTCTCCATATTCTTTGCATTTTAAGTGGTCTCTGTCATATGATAGTGCTGATCCTGAGGCTGCTGTGTCTACTAGCATTCCTCTGGCAGTCTGCAGATTACTCTGTAATCTAGCATCTCTGTGCTACAGAGCTCTGAGTCTTTACCCTATTAGCCTTGGCTATGTGTGTCGTACATGTAGTCATGGCACGGGAAGAAGTGCATTCATATACACTCACTCTATATTGGGACAGCTATTCACTGTGGGCAATTTCTACCTCTAATATTCCCCTGAAAATTTTGGTTCGCATCCTGTGGATTGGCAAATCGAGAGAGGGTTGCTTATTGTTTTATTTCTGTCAATTATTTTGAAAGTTTCTATGATAGTGTCACTCTGCTGATACTATGTCTGTTAGAGCAATTGGTAACACAATATAGTCTGAAATGTAATTTCAAACGTCTGTGGTGTGGTAGGTTTCTGGTTTTCATTTTTTTTATTTTCTTAAGCAGACCTAAAATCTTTTCAAACAATTTTTAATCATGCTGCTTAAAACAGCCTCATTATTTTGTTCAGAATTTTTATGCGTCTTCTAAAAGTGGTCTTTTCCTACCTCAAGACTAGTGGAACTATTTTCTTCCAGATATTTTTGCCTTAATAGTAATATAATATAGGAGATTCTATCTGCAATGGACATTCATTTACTTGAGATAGATATCTACTATTTTTGGCAGACATAAAAATACAACTTAGGTTATGATTTTTAAGTTTAAAATTTTGTAAGGGAACATTCAGAGTGAAAAATTTGCTATCCTAAAAATGGCAGATGAACAATGACTTTTTTCAGAGCAAATATGCTTGGTCTGTGGTTGGAAACAGAGGCACTAATCTGCCTCTGTTAAGATAAATTATAATTTTGAATTGACTTGCTTTTTACTTCTAGGCATTTGAGAGAGAAAACATCGATAGCTGCAACATCTAGAGGATGCTATGGGCTGGAAGATGAGAAAGGAACAGCGTGCACTTCAACAAGACGTCGTTCCACAGCTCGCAGTTTAGTCGGCCTGTCAACAGGCGTGTTTGAGTCTGTAATGGTTCAGGTTCTGAGGCAGGAGGAGCAGCTGAAAGCAAAAGAAGAAAAGAGGTAATAGGAGAAATTGGAAAGGGTGTTGAGCTTGTGTGGTGTGTTGAGCTTGTTTGCTTTTTCTAGTAATCTTGTCTTTCTCATTCTCCAGAGCAGCCTTTTTAAGGCTCCTTAGATCTCTAAACTTTGTGCTGCTCCTGATGTTGGGTTCACTTTTGAATCCAGGACTTCAACAGGTTGTGCCTACAAAATAAGAAATTAGTTTTTTGGTTTACCCCTTATTGAAAAAGAATTCTAAAGCACTGTAAGGTTTAAGTGATTTAAGACTGCTATTGCTTAGCATTGTAAAACTTCTAACAGGAATGAAAGCATCCACAGCCATTTTTCTGTTAGCTCAGTCATGATTTATTTATGTATTTATTGTTATTTATCATATCTCTCCTTGGACTGTTTTCTATGCAACAGTTACATAAAAACTACTTAAATGCATACAGTCTTGTTTTAGGATCCTGTCAGTGCTATGCTCATTAATAGGCAGAGGCAAATCATCTGTGCCAGTACAGCTCCTGTTATCTCACCAATGTAACATTTCACCTTGTTCACTAGGTAATGCATTTAGAAGTTATGTACAATTAACTGTGTGCGACTTTTGTATTTTTTCAAGTTCATAAATGTAAGAGGCATATAATTCCATGCATCATTCAGTTTTGGTCATGATATATTTCACTTTGGTTGAGAGTGAAGCCCATTTTTTTAACACCCATATATAACCAGTTTACTCAGAATTTGCAGATATTCTTCATTTTTGGCTTATTTGATTTTGCCAGTTTTAGTTGACCTGGGAGATAGACAGTTCGTTTTCCTTTAGAAAATGTTAGGTCTGTATTTTCTTCCTCAAATTCACATCATTTTTTGCAGTGTGCAAAATAAAGCAAAGGTCACTAGGCTTATTGTTTCTCCAGTAAAAATTAAATGAGGTGTGGTTATTTTGATAGGCTTTTAATTCATAGTGCAGTGAAAAGTTGGCTTTTATATACTTATTTTAAACACTCTTCTGCAACACCATAGTAATTAACAATTATTTATCTATCTGGACATACTCAAAAGTCCCAGTCCCAGATTCTGGGTGAAGGACTCCACAGAGGTTGTTTCTACGGAATGTGTGCAAGAACAGAACAGAATCAAAACCAGCTTGCCTCTTGATGCTCTAAGATTTTTGTACCATGTAAGATTTTCCATGCCACTTCATAGGAAGAAATAGAAATGTGTCAGTAGGTAGCTGCTCTTACTTAATATTAATTTGACTCTATTGATTTAGTAAAATAAAATTTTTTCTCCTTTGTTTTTCTTATTTATTAATGGATTCACCGTGTTTTCAAACTAATGTGGACCTATCTATATCAGTTGCCTCCTTGCTCACCGTAATGCGAACATTTGGCTTTTAAATTTTGGATTTTTTCATTAGGTTTACAAAAAAGACTTGGAAATTGGAAGACATATAAAATTAATGAAATATGACTAGTTAGGATCACATACTACTACTGACAACTTAAACGAGCTTTCACAGTGTTGAATTTATATAAAAATACCTTTTTTATTAAAAAACATACTTTAATTAATGAAAGTTTTACAGTTTCCTATTTTAGACTATTACTGAAACATAGACAGTGCTGAATAGTATAGTTAATTACTGTGAAGGGTACAAATTTATTCAGCTTCTCTTTTAGAAATCTCATATACTGAAGTTGGTATAACATAGAGTCATTTTAAAAGTAGATGCAAAATTGCAACTCCATTGTATTGTAGTCAGAGTGTATGGCATCTTCTCATAAATTAATTGCAGTAAGTTTAAGTTGCAAGTAAATTATTTAAGATGTTCTTACATAATCTCTATTTTGCTTTGGGTATGGAGTTTATGGTATTCATTCACATATTAAATTCATAGTATGTGAAAACGTGATTTAAGACTACAGATATAGAATTAAAGTTACATGGGCATCCCCAAATTCAGTTTCTTCTGACTATTGAATGTTGATTTAATAATATGAATAATACCTAACATTACTATTTTTTATGTAATTTTCTTTATTTCTTTTAAAGCTTGTAGAAGCAAATTCGTCAGTAATTAAAACAGTTCTGTGTACCTTGTCATCAGAGTTTCAATGCCTTACCTTTCAGTATATAAGAGCACTAGCTTCCGAGCTATCAGACAGATGATTAGATGGGTAGCCGAAGAGGTAGCTGTAAAGAAGGATGCAACCATCCTTTAAGTAGTTTCACAGAATCACAGAATGGTTGATGTTGGAAGGGACCTCTAGAGATCATCTAGTCCAAACCCTCTGCTCCAGCAGGGACTCCCAGAGCACGTGGCACAGGGTGGCATCCAGGCAGGTTTGGAAGATCTCCAGAGAAGGAGACTCAATTACCTCTTGTCCTGTCACTGGCCACCACTGAGAAGTTTGGCCCAATCCTCCCTACATTCATCCCTCAGGTACTTAATAGTTATTGATAAGATCTCTCAGTCTTCTCTTTTCCTGGCTCAACAGGCCCAGCTCGTTTACTCTTTGCTCATAAGATAGATGCTCTAGTCCTTCAGTGCTCTACGCTGGACCGTCTCTACAAGTTCCCCGTCCCTCTTGTACTGGGGAGCCCAGAACTGCCCCCAATACTCCAGGTGCGGCCTCACCAGAGCTGAGCAGAGGGGCAGGATCCCCTCCCTCGACCTGCTGGCAACGCTCCTCCTCATGCAGGCCAGGATCCCACTGGCCTTCCTGGCCACGAGGGCACATTGCTGTCTCATAACCAGCAACCTAAGGATTTAGTTTAAGACCTTAAGGATTAGTTTAGGAGTCGTAATTGCTGGAAAACGGTATCATCTAGTCTTTGCCTCCTGCTCCCTCTCAAAATCCTTTACTGAAGATGAGGGAGAATTATTTGTGTGATATGTCTGCTGGGACAAAAGAAAACAGGGCGGTTATTGCTGGACTCTCTTCTGCATGGTATCTGTACTCTGGAGTATAAACACTGAGTTTTAAGGTCATGTACCATGCTTTTATCCACTTGAGAGCTGCAAAACAACTGCAGTAGACAACATGTTCCAAGAATATTTTTATCTTTCATTAGTCTGGAAATGTCAGCTTGACCCTGGAATAGTTGTGCTAGTCATTGCAAACATAAATCTGCAAACATGTTCCTGATAAAGTAAATAAAAGTAAGAAACAACAAATCTTTAATAGTTGCTGTCAGCACAAAAGCCAAAGTCTTTGCCCAGAGTGTTTTTCAGTGTAAGGATGTTTGTTCTGTTAGATATCAATCGTTTCTCCATTTTCCTTCTTCCCTTTCCCTCTCTTTTCTACTCACCTGCAGAAAACATCAAGAAAAGGCTGTGTGATCTGTGAGATGGGAATCTAGTAGAAGAGCTATGTAATAAGAATGTGTGCCATTTTTTTCACATTTTTCTCTTGAATGTCTGCTGCTAGTGTGATAAAATGGTGCCTCTAAAAAAATGCACTTTTTGCAAGTAAGGTAACTTATGTTTTGTGTTTCAAAACAGTTTAAAAAATAACATAATAGCATTTTATGAAATTCCTGGCAAAGATCTGCTTAGCATATTTGCTTTTATTTTGAGAGTTCTATCTTAATTTAAATTCAACATTGATCCTGCTGGTGAAAGTGCTTGAAGATTGTATCATCTACCTCCTGCATTTGTAGTAAACTATACTAAAATACATAGTTGTTTTTACATGTGTTTTATGTCAGTGTATACCTATTGTTATTAAAGCTTATTCCCATGTTATTTTTAAAGTGCTCGTACTGCTTGGAGACAGCAGGGCATTTGGAAGTCTGCTGTGCAGTTAAGAGGGAAAAAGCAATAGAACTCAGCATTGCTTGACTCTTTTTTTTTTTTTTTTTTAAGAATGCTTCTTTACTTTTTCTTTTCTCCTTCTCCGTTTGTAGGAGTATTTTTCATTTATTATGGTAATGCAAGATTAAAGTGCTGGAAAGTAGGATAAAAGCCAGAATAAAAAGAATTGCTCACCTTACCTGTGCAAACAATCCTGTTGACTTTACTGACTTGTTCAAGTGGGATGTTGGCAAATAGGATTTTTGTCCTTAGATTACATTAATAATATGGTTAGGTTAGTGCTGCATTGAGAGAGTTGATGTGAGAACTGATTGACCTGTTGACATTTGTTTATTTTGCATGAATCTGTATTTCTGTACTTTTTAGGTGCATATGTAACAAGTGAGCACATACATGATATTAAAAATTCACACTTGAGACAAGTATGAATAAACCACTTGAACTTTATTTCAGATGAAATGCTGACTGGGATCTTACTATTATATCTCATTTACCAACCCACATATAAAGGATGCAAATTATGACAGCTCGTGATCATGACGTATTGCTCTTTCATGCTAGAGACCACTATTAGCTTCCTGTTGTCAAAGGATTATAATATTATTTTATATTTTGGCTGAATTTGCAAGCATTGATGCTTTGAATTGATACAAAGCCATTTTTGCTATTTATACCCGAAGAGAACGTTTGAAAACCGAAAATAAGACAATCTGAATTGCCTTATCAGATCACATCAGATCTGATCCCATCAATGACCTGTCTGCTGCAGAGGCTCCGAGAAGTTTGAGAGAGAGGGGAGGGGGGAAAAAAAAAAAAAAGAAAGAAGGAGCTTTCCTTTTAAATTTCCTGTCTGCTCTTGCCTTGAGGCAAAAGTGATTGTTTTTCCTTGAAACATAAAGGAAAAATCCGTTCCATTATTAGTGAACCTTGAGATATCTCATTTTTCATTTTGTTGCAAGCTTAACATACTAATATTCTAGTAAGTTGGCTAGTAAGCTAAGGTGACTAATGATCTGAGGTGGACCTCAGATCTACGTATTAAATATGCTCCCTTCGAATTTTACAATGGAATTACCACAAAAGTTAATTGAGGTGCCCAGTCTAAAATACCTTTTCATAAGTTTTGTGTACTGCAGTCATGTTTCCTCTTGCTAGTGTTTTTGTCTAGTGCCGCAGGTTTCTCAACCTCTTTTTCTGTGGAATTTTTACAGGCCTCTGACTATTAATAACATCTTTCTCTGAATATCCACTATTTCTGCTCTATCCCTTTTTTTAGATAGGGGGACCAGAACTGAATACAGTTTTCCAGGTGAGGGCAAACCATTTTTTAATGTAATGACATTTTCTTTTTAGTGTTATTTTCCATCACATTTTCCATGCATTCTAACATTTGTTTCTTTCTGACCACCATTGCGCACCTACTAGTAACACACCTTAGGGTGGGAGGGAGAAGGGCTTTTGTAAATAAGTGAGGGACTTAGGCATGTATACTTATAGCAAAGGAGGAGTTACCAGGTAGGTGACACAATAGTTTGAATATAACGTTTCTTTCTGCTATTTAAGAAGTGGATGGAGGTGTGTGTGTATATATTTATATTTATATATATATGTGTATATATATATATATAAAACAATCAAAAAACAAAACAAAACACCCTCACCCGAACTATTGATAATCTGTCAAGTTTTTGACTATGTTTACTTTTCTAAACTAGTGATGAGGAATAAGGAAATCCAATTTCCTATTTTGGTGCTGTGATTCACTTTATGATATAAGACAATTTTATATATATATATATATATATATATTTTGAATTTTACATTTTTTGTTACTTTAAGATATATATGTTTTTTGTGCTGTGTTTTAGTTTTTTACTGTTTTAGTTTACATGAAATCTGAATATTTGTGAACTTTCTTTTAATAGGCTGAGAGAACAAGAAAGAAAAGAAGCAGAAGAAGCTAGTCAGAAAGAAGTAGAAGAATGGGAAAAGGCACTTTTAGCTCAAGCAGCACCTACAAGAATGGAGACAATGTGGGAGATTCCAGCTATTGGTCACTTTCTTTGTTTAGCACAACAGATTTTAAACTTACCTGAAATTGTGTTCTATGAATTGGAACGTTGTCTTCTGATGCCTCAGTGTAATGCTTTTTTATCTAAAATAATGACTTCTTTATTAAGTCCTCCTCATCGCAGATCTACATTACATCGAAGACCAACACTTCCTTACAAGGCTTGGGAAGCAGCACTTAGACAGAAAGTACAACACTGGTATACTGTTGTAGGGCAGACTGACAATCCTAATAGCTCTGCAGAAAAACTTGGATTGTGTCCCCAGTTTTTTAAAGTCCTTGGGGAAGTTAATCCCTTACAGGAAAAACCATTTCATGAACTTCCATTCTACCAAAAAGTGTGGCTACTAAAAGGTCTCTGTGACTTTGTGTATGAAACTCAAAAAGATGTTCAGGATGCTGTGCTAGGTCAGCCAATCCATGAATGCAGAGAAGTAATTCTTGGCTATGACTACTTGGAGAATGCATATGTTCATTTTCCACAGTTCTGTGGTGCAGATGTTCGGATTTACAAACAAAAACCTTTTCAGGCTCCTGAATTTCCATCTCCTCCCATAAAAGTAAAAAAAGTACCACGGACTAAATTGGAGAGAGCAAAATATCTAAGAAAAAGCAACGGGGAGGTTAGCTCTGGTGGTAAAGAAGAGCCAATACCTTGTTCCAATACAGAAGTGGGTAAAAGTATGGATTCCATTGTTAGCTCTCCAGAAAAGAATATCCACTCAGATAGTTTTACAGTCGCTGCAGAAGACAGGACACTTAACTGTGAAATCAAAACTTCAGGAACCTGTGACTTCAAAAAGACTGATTGTTGTAAAGAGAACTTGGGGAAGTTGATTAGTTCAGGAGAGATTGTTAGTGTTGGTCATCACCTTAACCCGCAAGAAATTTGGACTGTAGAGAATGGACAAAGTTGTGCTGAAGCTACCAGAGAGAAACCCGAAATCAGCTCATTCAAGGAGAACACTCTGAAAGCTTGCCAAATACATGCTAATGGCAGTCATAATGACAATCCAGACACAAATTGCTTCAAATTTGGTAAAGAAACAATGTTGGAGAACTCACTGCGAACTAGTAAGAAACTAAAGCTTAACAAGTTACGGGCAAAAAAGAAGAAAAAGAAAAAAAAGAAGTTGAAAGACATTTTAAATGAAAATCTACAGAGAAAGCTTGATGACTTACAAAGGAAGCGCGAGATTCATCTTCATTCATTCAAATCTTATAAATCTGAGATCCAGAACAAGTTGTTTATAATCAAAAAGAAAGCAAAACACAAGAAGCACAAATCTGGTAAGTTGATATTTTTATCCATATTAAAAATCATAGAGATCCTGATTCTGTGTCTGTGTGTGTGCTTGAAATTGACTCCTTAACTAATGAGGTCATTTTTAATGTTATGAAAAGGGACAGTGTTACACATGCGACCATATAATCAACAAAACAGGTTAATTATTGGTTGATTAAACTGTGACTGATTCACAGAATTTCTTTAGAGAGAACATAAATCATCTGAGACGTTTTTGTTGTTTTTAAAAATATTTAGGGAGATTGAATCTAGCCCACCAGTTAACTCTAATGAGTGTGGGTTGAAGTGGCTTCGTGGTCTTTTATCTTATAGAAATTGTGGAAATAAATCTCCCTTTTCTGATAGTATTACCTCATCTGAGTTACAGACAATGCAAAGTGACAGACATTTTATGACAGATGTGGACAGGGTCTAGCTGAGAGTTATGGACAGGTTACACCAGATCCATCAAGTTTTCCAGTTACTGAAATTTAAAATTTTATATAGATATATATATATACACACACACACATATATGGGTATATTAAGTTTAAGACAAGTTTAAAGTGCTTAAGACAGTACACATTGCCAGGGAGCAGCTCTGTTCTTGATGTTGTATGAATGCCCTAAAAGTTGATATGCCATCTTGTTAAATCATAGATTAAGGTATCTCAGTTAGATTTTTAGCAGATTTCTTCAAACGGTGCATGTTAGGATACAGTGATTTATTTAATAAGAGAGTAGGTTGATGGGTAGATACTGGAGAAATCCCATTGCAATTTTAAGGCAAGGAGCTGAAAATAAAAATCTCAGTAACAAAACATGCTTTGTAAAAGTAAAGAATTCAGGGAACTGGTGCCGATACACTTGATCCAGAACTTGAGTACTTAATTGAATAAGTAATTTTAGATCCCAAGTCTTTGTACAGCATACTCAGATAACCCTTTTACCTTGTTAATCATAAACTCCTCCTTGCAGAAGTGCTTCCTTGCTACCCACATCTAAATATAAATACCAAGAGCTACAATTTAAGTTCGTATATGTGGTTTTGGGCACAAGCAATGTGACATATTTTATGTTCAGTTTTGTGACTAGCAATTCCCCAAAAGTATCACCAACTTTCAGTCTTCCTAAAACAATAGAAAAGAAAAAACAACCAAAAACAATAACCGTTGCCTAAAATAAGAGTTGTTCCATTTAAAGAACTACTGGCAAACACTGAGGACTAAACTTTTGTTATTTTTCTACAAAATGATTTAAATAATGTATTTGTCTCAATTGTAGCCCTACTTTAACAATGCATGCCTAAAAATCTACTTTGTATGAAATATGCAATGCTAATGGAACAAAATGTATTACATTTTCAATAGACTACTGCTCTGAAAGATAACTACTACTTATCAGAAACAATGGCAATATTTGGAAGTAGATTTTGAAGTTAATCAATAGGAGGAATGATGTTTATTGTGATAATTACTTTTTTAAAATGTGTGTTATTTTATGAAAATTACAAAATAAAAGTTCAAAAAAGATACTCTATAGCCTCCATCATTATACTTGATATGCCAAAAAATGTTTCAAAATACATTATCTTTTTATAATTATGGATTGTTCTGTTATTAAACATGCGTAGAGCAAAAAATAAGTTACTCTTCTAGAGAAATGCATCATTAACTACACTTACAGAAATCATTCTAATCTTTAAGGACTTCTAATGTTTTGAATATTTAATTTTGAATCTGTTTAAGGTTAAAGTTGTTGGCCCTGAATGCGTCAGAGACAAAGTTTATGTTTTATTTTCTAAAGTGCACAAAATAAGTTTGGATTTTTTAATAGCTTAGTAAAAGAGTATTTGTTGTTTACATGAGTCTTTACATGTTTTAGGACCCAGCATGCTTCAAAAGCTTACTATAAAAAGAGGTAGTTCCCTGCCTCTATGAAAATATGGGAATTAAAACAGTTGCTACTTAGTTGTAATTTGTGTTTTTCCGTGTCTGAATAGCAGAGTCAGGTGTAGATTATCTGCTTCTGCATATTGTGCCTCATGTACATGTATGAGGAGCTTCAGGTTGTTAGTGGTGATTTAATGTAGAAAACAATTAACGTATATTTGTCAAGAGTATATTTCTGCAACTGTAAACCAGTTGCTGAGAAATAATGCCATTATTTGTGTGAACTGTGGTTTTAATTACATCTATTTTCATAGCTGGAGAACTCTGCAGGGGTAGAACTAGTGTGATTCTGGGCCAGAGGAGCAATTCTCTTTTAGTCCTCACTTGTCCTTTGTCTTTTAGTATTCTTTGGAAAATCACTTTTCTTTTTCTGGTCTCTTCTTCACTGCAGATTTTGTCTTTTGTTCTTGCTGAGGAAAATTTCACAAGAACATTACAGTATAATGAGTTTCATCTAGTGCTTGTGAAAATTCCATTATTCCTATAGCTGATACTTAAAAATGGATAGGAATGAGTTGCCCGGTGAAATGAATTCATACTAATACCATTCTACAGAAACTGTATTTTGCTGCTTTATTATATTTAAGGTTAAATAATACTCCCAGAAAGATCTTCCTAACTTGCGTTCTCTGTTTAAACATCCATGTGGTGTCGAAAAACATACTTTAAATTCACAGAAATGCTGATCTAATTCTGATTATAGCCATAATCACTTTTTACTACATTGCTTTAAAGTATAGGAGGCAGAAGGCAAGAAGAATGTAAAAAAATGAGCGCATTTCTTCAATTTTTTAATAATTTTTCTTTTCATTTGGGTTGTATAAGGGAGTTAAATGAAACTTTGAGTTGGTGATGTTTCTATTAAGATGATTAGCATCTTCCTAAATTGTCAAATAAAGTGTTGTGGCCAGAAAGTATCCACCGCCCCAAAAAAAAAAAAAAAAGAAATTAAGAACATAGCTTGTGTGGTTTTTAGCTGAAAGCTTCCTGTAACTATTCTGAATAAAACTTACTGGAGAACATTGCTGCGCTGTGACATTGCCCTGCTAACAGATGTGAGATGGATCTACAAGTTATGAAAAGGAAGATATGCCCCTTTATTGAATCCCTGAAGCAAGCTGAGGGTTATTACTGTGGCAGTGTCCTGTGTCACTGTTATTGATCAGAGTGTAATGGAGTGTCTGATTTCAGTGTGAACTGGAATAAGCTTGGGCTCCTTGAGTGTCTCCACACTCAGAAAATAATTAAAATTCTAGGCTGAATTGACTTAGATTTTGCTGTGCTTGTAGATTAGACGCAAAAAGACATTTGACCGCAAGTGTGCTTGTCTTTCAAAAAGGCCATGAGTTTTGGAGGATTGACAAGTTCCTTGAGAAAAAGACAAGTTTGTAGTATAGTTCAGTAAACAACTAGTATGCAAGGCATCCATTTTAAATGTAGTTTATTACTGGTTTTAGTTAAATTAGGCTATAAATCCTTGCACTGAACAGTAGTAACGTCTTACAAGATCTGGACAAGACAGCCATGCAGAGGTAAATCATGAGGTACTGCAAGGATTGCAGTGAAAGGCACATTGTAAAAGTGTGAGAATTCTGTCTTTGCATGAATGAAATAGTGGCTGGGTGAGATTTAAAACATAGAGGGTGCTTGGGAGAGGAGGAAAGTGGGATCACAGGGTGCTTAAAATAACTGTCATGTGCTGACAGTTGTTGAAGTAGAAGTTGAAGTAATTTTAAATTGAAACACTTACTCTGGTGTCATAGACCCTTTTTGATATAACACATAATTTGCCTAAAAAAAAAACAAAAACCTCAATGTAAGATTAATACCCCATAGTCATGCTTTTTAAGATTCATGGCAATCCACCAGACTCAGGTCTGTTTCACTGTATACTTTATCTTATCTGTGTATGAAATCAAGAATTGATTGAATGTAAAGGAATGGATTTTATAGTGTGGCAACAACTTAGCAGTATCTGGTGTCCTGTCCTAGGAAGTTTCATATTCATCTTTGACTTCAGAAATAAAAATGTTATTACCGTAGTATTGTTAATTTGCTAGATTGGAACAGCCCACTAGCCACATTGTAGAATACCTTATTTAATACTTGCAAGCACTTGTGGTTTCTTTTCTTTTGAAAGTTTTAACAAATTTCCCACTTACCAAAGTTCCCATCACAATGTTGCATTTGTCAGCCAGCATTAGCATCTTCAAAAATACATGCCAGTGAGGTTTTGTGAGGTTTTACTGGATTTGCTTACATAGTTCTGTTAAGTCAGCGTTATTGATGTGCTTGTAGAGACCTGTTTTGCTTGTTTGCTTTTGTTGATATCACAGGTCTCAACAAGCATATCAACGTATTGACTGTATACAAATGCATGCTGTGTCAGTATGGAAGGTTCAGAAATCTTTTGTCTGCTTCATTTTTCCAGATTATTGCTAGGCATGTTTTTCTAAAGAAAAAGCTATTGTGATCAGGATCAGGATATAGCTACAAAACATAGGAAGGTCATAAAATATTTCTTGCAAATGAACAGAAAAGCTTGGATCGGTTAGAAAACAATGGCATTGGTCTAGAAAGTCATAAGAAAACACAAGAATTTTTGCAGTTTGAAGAGACTAAATAACTTTATCTCACCTTGGTGAAAAGGAAGAGCACTTATTTTTCATTGTTCTCTATGGGAGTCAGGCTTTGCTGCATAAATTGCAAACACTGTGTTGTTTGGCTTTATGATTTTTCCACTTAGTCATTTGAACACCAGAGTGAAGTGAAACATTTGAAGTTTTGCGCTTAATTACAAGATGTTTTACTAGATCTTTACAAGCTTACCTGTTTTCAAGTCAAATTGAATGAAATAACTGTGAATGCCAGGGATGTCTGTGCGTCAGTATTTTGATTTAGAAGTATAGAAAAGTAGAGTGGTAGGGATAGAAGATAGCTGTCAAAGATTGCTTATGTTCCCTACCATCTTCAGGCCATACAGCAAACGAACTGTTTCTGAAAATGGCTTCTTTGTGAATTGTATTCACCCCGAATCTGTCTAGTGGCTTTTT